AGTTGTGAGTTACAGGGTGTTAAAAATGGAAGTCAACAAAGAGAAAATTCGGTACATTTTACAGTTTTTCTTTGATAAAGGCGAAAATGCAAGCCAGGCGGCTGAAATTGTGAATGGTGTTTATGGTGCCGATACTGTAACACGTGCAATTTTGGTTTCGTCAATTCCGTTCAGGTATTTTTTATGTTAACCCATTGACAGTGTATCCCGTGACGGTCACGGGCAGAGCGTCAAGTACCAAACGGTTTATCCCGTGACAGTCACGGGCAGAGCGTCAAGTACCATTCAGCTTATCTCGTGCCACGCACGGGCAGGGTAAGGCGTTCAAACTGCTTAGTCTACCAAAGATATCTAAGACTATGGCTAGATTCTTTACTTCCTCTGTTTTCTAAAATTATTTTAACTGAAGAAGGAGACGTGGTTTAGTTTTGAATTCAGTATGCCGTCGACTTTGAAACCGATCATACAATCCTTCGCACCAGAGTTTAGTGCTTTTTCAGTTCTAAAAATCGTTTTTGTGAATTATATAAAATTGTATTTTTGTTATCCAACATAGATAGTAGTAATAGTAGTGACTCGTCAATCATAAATGCCAGTGATAGTGATAATCCGGTCTCAACCGATGACAGTTCAACTTCATCAGAGAATGCAAGACAGAACAACACAATTGACAATAATTTCGAATATAATTTTACAAGAATTGACGGAAATAATATGCCTCCTCCACCACCAAGAATGCATTTCACCAGTTCTCCGTCCGTTCACGTAAGAAACGACAGCGGCGATATACTAAGCTATTTTGAATATTTCTTCTCTCCGGACTTACTGCATTTGATTGAAACTGAGACAAATAGATACGCACGTGACCACACAGGGCAACATGAGAATCACTCGCGGCACAACAAATGGCAAGATACTACCGTAAATGAAATTTACGTATTTCTTGCACTGCATATCTTGCAATCCTTAGTACAAAAGCCCATAGTAGAATGGTACTGGTCGAAACGGCACAGCATTGACATACCGTTCGTGCGAAATATTATGACATACGACAGATTTCGGTTGTTGAAAAGTTGTCTCCACTTTGTAGACAACAAATACAGATACCACCAGATCATCCAAATCCGAAACCTCACAAAATTTGGCCTGTGTTCAACCGCATCAATCGCTCTTTTATGTCAGCAATTACACCAAACCAAGATCTTTCCGTAGACGAGAGTTTATTATTATACAAAGGCAGATTGGGATGGAAGCAATACTTGCCATTGAAACGATCCAGATTCGGAATCAAAACCTTCATGCTTTGCGAGGCAAACACGGGATACATCTATTCTCAAATTATATATACTGGGAAGGGCACAATTATAAATGAAGAATATAAAAACTTATCGCAACCGACAAGCATTGTCTTGACTCTTGCAGAACCATTATTGGATAAAGGATACTGTATTATTACAGACAACTACTACACATCACCCGAATTAGCCAGCATATTACTCACACGCAATACCGACATTTATGGGACCGTACGGCAAAATAGAAAACACATACCAGCAGCTATAAAAACTGAAAAATTGAAAAGAAGGGACAAAATAGCATTCCAGGACGGAAAGATCTGCATTCTAAAGTGGAAAGATAAGAAGGATGTTGTAACATTATCAACAATTCACAACGCGGATATGACAACGGTACAGAAAAACAATGAGACGAAAATAGTTTCAAAGGTTGTATCCGATTACAATTTTACAATAGGAGGAGTAGACAAGGCCGACCAGAATCTAAGATATTACTCCACAACAAGAAGCAGAAGCAAAAAATACTATTATAAAATTTTTATACACCTTCTTGACCAAGCCATATGGAATGCATATATACTGCATAAAAAGGAAGGCAGAACCATGACCCATTTACAGTTTCGACTTGAACTCATAGATAAACCAATAGCAAAATACCACAAGGAAGTACCAAGCCCGAGCAAAGGCGGTAGACCTTCCTCTACTCCCACGCCGCTCCGATTGACAGAAAGACATTTTATTGATATTATTCCGCCAACTGTCAATAAGGCCAAACCGTATAGACTTTGTGTAGTGTGCTGTTCGAAACGAATAAGTGGAAAAAAAGTGAGGAAGGAAACAAGATACTACTGCCCGGATTGTGACGTCGGCTTATGTATCCCGTGTTTTAAAATCTATCATACACGGACTAATTACTAACAAGGTACATATAAAACACGTTTTTTTACATTTTTTATTACAGGCCGAAGTATTTCCGAACATGAAAAAACTAGACATTTTTGGACCAGAATTCGTAATTTTACCACACTGTGAAAGGATTAAACGGATGGTGACTGGGGATGAGAAATGGATCACATACGACAACATTGTGCGAAAACGATCGTGGTCAAAGCGCGGTGAAGCAGCTCAAACGGTGGCCAAACCAGGACTAACGGCCAGGAAGGTTCTGCTGTGCATTTGGTGGGACTGGAAAGGAATCATTTATTATGAGTTGCTTCCATATGGCCAAACACTAAATTCGGATCTCTACTGTCAACAACTGGACCGTTTGAAGCTAGCGATGGACCAGAAACGGCCAGAATTGGCCAACAGGAGAGGTGTTGTGTTCCATCAGGACAATGCCAGGCCACACACGTCTATAATGACTCGCCAGAAACTCCGGGAGCTTGGTTGGAAAGTTTTGATGCATCCACCATACAGTCCAGACCTGGCACCAAGCAATTACCATGTTTTTCTTGCATTGCAAAACTTCCTTAATGATAAGAAATTGGCATCAAGAGTTTTTCGCCAATAGGGACCAAGACTTCTATGAGAGACAACAAATACCCTCTGATCAAAAAGTACCCGGAATTTGTCATTTAAACGAAGCGCGCTGAAGATATTGTCGAAATCATTTGTTTTCTAGGCTGGTACATCTTTCATTTGTTTACACATCAATTTTTAGCGCAATCTGTCGGATAGTTTGTGCGTAATAGCCTTGTAAACAAGTCATAGTTTGGTGTACTCTGCGAATTTCGATATGTCTCATTTAGTGGAGCAGAGAGTCTGCCTGAAATTTTGTTTTTCGAACACGCCAACTCCTTCCAGTGCGCCCTTAGCGCGCTTTACCCTGGTGGAGTGGGAGAAGATCCCAAGGGGTGGTCAAATGTTTATAATAATTCGGGAAATTCCTCCGGGTGACTCATCGGCCAGCGGACCGTTACAGACAATTGTACCCTTCGGAAAACCCGTGGTTTATGGCATGTTCTTAAGCTATTGAGCGCGAAAGGCACAAGCGGCAAAAAACTCTAATTAAGTGATTCTACCGGCCTTCGCTAGGATGGACGTTAAAGCATAAAATAGTAAATTAAATCCTAATCTCAAAAACAGCCTGTAGGTGCAACCGTGCCATAAACCTTTGCCTGATGAATCCTAACAATCATCGGAATGGCGCTTCTCAAACGAGCCAAAACCCAAGAAACCACGACAAAGTCGATCCAAAATCAAGATTTTGTTGACCGTTTTCTTTGATTGTCGTGGTGTGGTCCACTTCGAATTCCTTCCACCAGGTCTAACAGTAAATAAGGAGTATTATGTGAGCGTATTGAAGCGTTTGAGGGAGAATGTGCGACGCAAAAGGCCAGAATTGTGGAGAAACAACTCGTGGTTCCTCCACCACGACAATGCACCAGCGCACACGTCTCACATTGTACGCGACTATTTAACTAAAAACAACATCAATACCGTTCCACAAGCTCCATATTCACCTGATATGGCCCCGTGTGACTTCTTTCTGTTTCCACGTCTCAAATTACCACTTCGGGGAAAGCATTTTGAGACCATTGAGGCGATAAGGGAAAATTCGCAGAAGGAGCTGAAGGCGATCCCAAAATCGGCCTATAAAAAATGTTTTGAAAATTGGAAAACGCGTTGGCATATGTGTATTGCTTGCGATGGAGATTACTTTGAAGGGAATAAAATAAATATCGATGAATAATTGAACCGTTTTCGTTTTATTGACAAATTCCGGGTACTTTTTGATCATAGGGTATGTATTATATCTGCGTTATGTAACTGCGCCTAACCCCCCCTGGAAGGCGGCCACCCAGAGTCCCACTGGGAGGGCGTACCGACTTGGGGGCGACTGCCATAGCTGGTCCCAAGCCCAGTTGAGAAAAGTAGAGGGGCCTAAGCTAACTTAACCTTATTGCCACCGGCCACCCAACGCCGGGCGCGGGACGCCTATGTCGCAAGACGGATTCCCTGCGCCCGGGCTGAGGCACTCCAACTCGGCGGTGGTTTCGGACCCTAAAAAAAAAGGGGAGTAACGCCACTGAAACGGAGCACTGTGCCGCAAAATGTGCATATTGCGCGTCGGTAAACTGGTGTTCGGACTTACGTCTTTCAACGCTACCTTGTCATTCTCCGGATCGTACTCTTCTTTAAGTGTTACATAACAACATATTTGGAGATTTTGCAATTATTATAAATAAAAATACAATTTAGGGTAATTAACACATTGAGCGCCGGCCCCGTGAAAACGCGGGATTCTGAGTCTATCGCTTGAGCGCCGGCCCCCCGCGATAATGCGGATTTCTGGGTCTATCTCTTTCTTTCTTGTTTCTTTCGGAAACAAGCGAATGAGACCGGGCGTTTGGGCTTTAAGTGGCCGATACGTTGCCGGCGCTCAGGCTCTAAATGTCTCTTAGGTCGCCGGCGCTCAATGTGTTAATATGTCGAATTAAAATTCTCTGTAATTTAACCCTTTCGCGGCGAACAGCGCCTTTAGGCGCTCAGCTGTAGACGCTCCCTCTGAGCGAACAGCGCCTATAGGCGCTCATCCAGAGTCGCTCTCTCCGAGCGAACAGCGTCTTTAGGCGCCGTTCACTTATTATCAGTAACTGCCCAATAATGTCGTTTGTTTTGGACGCGCTAGCAGCACACGCTTCTTGTGCAGAGATTTTTTTACATAATCAAATATAATTATCCATAAATTTTGCCCCGATCATGGACAAATGGACGACGAATATGAGCTGCGATGGTATGGAACTGTCATCGGATTCTGACCTGTCTGAAATTTTTGGAGAAATTGGATACAAAGGTAAAAATCAAAATACATACATCAAGAGACGCCTACTGTCAAGTAGCTCGGAATCTGATTCTGAAAACATTGAGGAATTACCAGACATCGATCCGCGGCAATTTCTTTGGAGCGCACAAAATTTGGCTCCAAAAGTTTTTGATTTTGATGAAAATCTACCAGGAATTAAAGCAAATATTGACGATAAATCGTCAATATTAGAAATTTTTCAACTTTACTTTTCCGAAAATATCGGAGTAAGCAATAATTATTATACCACGAAAACTGTACGCAGTAGGCACTCACGATTGATGACATGGAAAAATACAACAGTGACCAAAATGTATCGATTTTTTGCTTTGTCGATGTTACTGTCAAGAGTAAAGAAAGTGTCAATAGAGGAATATTGGTCAAACGACGAATTATTACGAACGGAAAGTTTTCCAAGAATAATGACAAAAGACAGATATAAATCTCTATTACAAATGCTGCACTTTCACGACAACAATGAGACAACAAATCAAGATATGCTAATAAAAATTCGGAGCATCATCGACAGACTGCGAAATTCTTTTTCACGAGTATTTTACCCGTATAAGTATTTATGCATCGACGAAAGCTTGCTGCTTTTCAAAGGACGATGTTTCTTCAAGCAGTATATACCTTCAAAACGAAGTAGATTTGGAATCAAGTCGTATGTTATCTGTGACTGTTATACTGGATATATCCTAGATTTTATTGTCTATTGTGGAGCGCGCACGGATACAACTAACAATAATCATTTAGCAGAAATTGGCAAATCAGGAAATATTGTTATGACGCTGATGGAAACATATTTAAATAAAGGTCATGTTTCGGTCACCGATAACTGGTACTCAAGCCCGGCATTATTTTCGCTCCTATATCATAATAAGACAAATGCATTTGGAACCGTGAGGAAAACCAGACGTGGAATGCCTAATATATCTAATAAATTATGCAAAGGCGAAATTGCATTTCAGTCTACGGATAAACTGTTAGCACTAAAATGGATGGACAAAAGAGAAGTGCTAATGTTATCAAGCCATCATTCTGCTGAGTATATAGAAACAAAAAGAAATGATGTTAATACGGGAACACCAATATTAAAACCAAGTGTCATAGAAGACTACAATCGCGTTATAGGAGCAGTTGATAAAACCGATAAGATTGTAAATTCCATTAATACTGTTCGTAAAACTCTGAAATGGTATAAGAAATTCTTTTTCCACATGCTGGACCTTTCGATTTACAATGCTTACATACTCTACAAAATTATTAGGTGTACAAATGAATAATCCAAATTATTTTAAGCAGTCATGAAATCAATTTTAAAATCGATTGATTTTCCCGCTCTTTTCCGGTTATATAGTGTTGACATATAGCTATTAAAAATAACATATAGTTTGGCGAAAGGCCCAACATAACCTTCAAAAGTACTTAGTTCAGTAGAGTCCAAAATGGCAACAGATAAGGTGCATATCCGACACTGCTGCTGAAGAATGCTGCAAGAGCGTGCGAATCGATTTGTTCCTTTCTCGGCGAAGGTGTTGTATCGTACGATGTGTGCGCATTTTGGTTTAACACGTTCACGCCGGGACCGATTTTTATTTGTTTTGCTGTGAGGCGGCGCTGAAACTAATGCCGCGCTTCATCTGACGGGCGCGATTTTTGCCTGTTCAGACCTGCATACGCGTTGTATGTTTGCTCAGTAGTACAGTGTGTGCTTATTGTGCAAGTTGTATAATTCGTGCCGTTTTTTCATCCTGGCTACAGATTTCTGCCAGTAAGTATAACTAGAAAGGTGGTTAGAGTGTTTTTTTTAATTCTTGTCCTTATAAAAAATAGGTAACATGGATATGGAAATAAATGATTCTGATAAATCTATAAATAGAAGCAGGAGAAAGGCATCAAGATTACGGATATTTTCTTCCTCTTCAGACGAGGATTTTGTTAATGTAAACAGTGAAGTGAACGAATGTTCCACGGAAGAAGAAGATTTGGTGTCTAAATCAGAGAACGAGGATGACGATGATGAATGGCAGGAAGTAAAAGAAAGAACTTCAGTAATAAATGAGTATTCGGAAGAAGAGGAATTTTTATATGAAAACACTGACTGTAATGACCCTTTTGCTTTATACAAACTATTCTTCACGGATTACATATTAGATTTGATAATTGAAGAAACAAATAAATATGCTACACAATGTATAAATAATTCTTCATTTAGCAGTAAAATGCACCAACAGGCCTGGCAGTCTGTTACAAGAGATGAAATGAATACTTTTTTTGGCATATTGCTTATTATGGGTGTAGTGCAATTACCAGAAATTAGATTATATTGGTCTAACAACGACATGTATGCGAACGCACGCATAAAAAATGCAATGAGACGTGATCGTTTTTTATCTATTCTTAAGTTTTTACATTTTTCGGAAAATACCACAGCCAGAACTGAAGATCGGTTGTACAAAATTCAAAACATTATTGAAGCAATTGTGGATACCTTCAAGAGTTCTGTTAAGCCTGGCAAAAATATCGTTATCGATGAAAGTATGGTTCCGTGGAGACGACGTCTAGGTTTTCGTCAGTACATCCCAGGCAAGCGACATAAGTGGGCGTAAAATTATACAAATTGTGTTTGCCTGAATGCTACACTTATAATATCGAAATTTATGCCGGGAAAAATGGAACGATCATTGAAAAATCACATTCTCATGATGTAGTAATGAGATTACTAAATGGCTTATTATTTGAGGGCCGCATGCTATTTATTGATAATTATTATACAAGTGTCCCTTTGGGTGAAGAACTTTTAGAGAGCAATACATTTATGTGTGGTACTGTAAAAATAAACAAAAAATTTCTACCACCGCAGGCAAAAAAAAAAACAAAAACGTGGTGAAATGATGAGTTTCGAAAATCGTAGCGGTGTAAAATTTCTGAAATGGACTGACAAAAGACCAGTATGCATGTTAACTACCTCAAGGAATCACCAGTGTAAATTTGTACAAGGAACAAATGGCAAAATAAAGCCCGATGCTGTGTTTGATTATAATATTGCAAAAAAAGGTGTTGATTTATCAGATCAACTATCGGGGTATTATAGTTGTTTACGAAAAACCATTAAATGGTACCGAAAAGTAATAATACAATTAATCGTTTGACTGCTACGCGGCGCAAAAGCGCTGCGTTCATTTGTCTCGAAAACCGCGGCGCAGCGCTTTTGCGCTGCGTGTTTCAGTGTTTCTTTGTTGCTCCGTTTGTTTATTTTGTTGTTTTTTTATTTAATGTTTATTTTTTCTTACTCACAATCACAATTAATATTGTTTCTTTATAATACGAAAAGAATTATTAAAATTGATTGATATTTGTCTAAATGAGAGTGTTTTATTTGACAACATCAAGTCAAAATATGTCCCGCAGTTTTCGTGCGTTCTTGCAAGAATTGCTTAGCAGTCAAACGGTTAAATTAAATTTTCATATCGACATTGTCGACAAACTTATGAAAAAAAGAATAATTTAACGTTACTTAAGTAAAAAAAATTTTGATCAATATGCTAATACACGTTTTCTATGTAACTTTAAAGAATAAATGAATCAAATTACAAAAGGAACAACCCCTGACAGCTGGACAAGCTATAATTTCCCACTAAATACTTGCATCCACTGTGTAACGTTGTTTAGATCTAATGTCGCATTAAAGTTCAAAAGCGTCAGTCGCACGTTTCTACGCGTGAAACAACTTTACGATCATCATCTCACACTTTAGACGACCTTCATATTCCACACTTGAGCTACTCTGTAATCGCAACGACGAACGCGATCAATTCACCTAATTCGTTCGTGTGAATATTATTCGTGGTCGGTGACGCCGGATATAAAGTGGTCGTAAAATTTCAATACCGAATGTCTTCTAATTTTTATTCTTTTCTTTTTCTGTTCATTCTCGCAATCGGTACGATAAATATAAATCTGAAACAGATCTAAAAAGTCAACCGTGTTCCTTTTGGTTGATAAAGTGCCCCGCACTTCCGAATACGCAGACTGTAAGCTCGCAAATTGTCCGCGACCGGCCGCGTAAATCATGCCAATATCTAAATACTCTAATTATAGGTGCCGGAACCGTGGAACTTTCTTAGCACTCCCCGTTCGAATCTTTCGTATTAAGAAGCACTCTTAAAGCCCGTGCGCTCGAAAACGGTAGTTTTACAATCGCTATAAATTCACTTATGAAACGATCCGTGTGATAAATTTCCCTCGTAATAGCGCTGCATCGAGTTCGGGATTTTTGGTGAAATTTTGAAAAATCTTGAAAAAATGATCGTAGTCGCGAGAAGTGTGAAAAGGGAATTTCGTGAATTCCTTCGACAATACATAATCAGAAATTTAATGTTCTTCCTTTTATAGCGGGTTCCTGAATTTTCTTAAAATGATAATCTTAATTACTAAATGAAACTCCGTGAATCTTCGTACAAAACTTGAATAAATGTTTTGAAAAGAATTAACAATATTACGTGATAATTGTTATTAGAAGTTTGACAATTAGGGCTGTAAAGATTTGCAGTCTGAACCCCTTTATATCAGGGATGATAGAATTTACTCAAACTTAAAAGAGCTAAATATACGTATATAATTGTTTTTGTTGCAGTAAAATTATTAATACATATTTAGAAATTAAACGTCCTTCGATTTTAATTCGAATGAAATTCACTTCGTTCAGGATTATAACAACGTGTCAGACTGGTGACACAGATTCTGGCGAAGATGCGACAAAAATAGTTACACTAGTAACGAGAATTAATTTTATCCTAATGTAATTAATCTACAATAATTAAGCTTTTCTTACCTAACACAGTACTAAAACAGCTGACGCTTAGGAGACAGCAAAAAGAATCACAAGTCAAAGGGTTGAACTGTGAATATTATTTAAATTACATTATATTACGATACTTTACTAGAAATTTTAGTGTCAATAAAAAAATTTCGGTATCTAAAATTATTGTTGCATATAGCTCAGTCCTATTATTAACGTTAACATTAAGACCGTAAATTCCAATAAAAAGGGAACCAAACGCATACTCTTTTCCCAAATAAATTCATCTCTACGAACGAATCACGCTACATCGAAAAGCGTTGAAACGTGGCTGAAAAAGTGTTCTTCCTCGAAAGCTTGACGAGCGGAAGGCCGCGAGGCGCGTCTAACGCTTCGAGCATTCCTCGCCGCTCGCAATTCTCATCGGTAGCTTACAAAGGGAGATGAACTGCCGCATCACTCCGGCCATTCATTCGTTTTCTACGCCTCTGTACTTTTGTTTTCGCGCGCCAGATGATATAACGCTAAAGTAAATTGCACACTCTATTCTCGGTGTAGGGCAGATATTCTGAATACACAAGCAACCGCTATTTTCTGACTGCGTGAACAGGCTCGCACAAAGTGTAAACCGGAACGAGAGCAAAAAGTCCTTCGGGGACGATAATGCGCTGGCAATTTTCAACGGAGAGATTCGAGCGAACTTCTACCCGCCGCGAAACTGCAACCTACACTCTCGTCATTTTCGTAACGTAATTAAGCGATTCTGTTGCGTGCAAATATTTTTGCTTTATTTTGCAAGATGCGTTTTGCGCGGAGAAACTTTGTTGCTGGAGAAAAGCGTGATTTATCTTTGGGGGAGAATTAGAAAAAAAGGAGAAAGCTGCTTTTTTGTGTTGTTGCAAGTGAAGAGAATATTGGTCATGTGAAAGTATGGGGAAAAAGCAGGTTAAAGTGGGAAAAAATGATGCGATGACTTGATGTGATTTTTACGAGTTCGATTCAATCGTTGCCGGTGGTACACGCCGCCCCATGAGACAATCTGGTGCGAGCCACCGGTGGTACACGCCGCCCCATGAGACAATCTAGTGCGAGCCACCGGTGGTACACGCCGGCGTGAACGTGTTAAGCGGTTTAAAAGCGGTAATTTCAGTCTAATCGACAAACAACGCCCTGGAGGCCCTTGGAAGTGCAACCACGATGATTTGGAACAACTGCTCGCTGAGAATGCGGCACAAACGCAAAAAGAGCTTGCAGAACAGTTGGGAGTAACGCAGCAAACGATTTCCAAACGCCTACATCAGATGGAAAAGATCCAGAAGGAAGGAAAATGGGTTCCGCATGAACTCACTGCAACCAACAAAAATCAACGAGTGGCAGCGTGTCTTTCTCATCTCAATAAGCAGCGCCGAAAGTCTTTCTTGTGGAAAATCGTTACGGGTGATGAGAAATGGATACTCTGTGACAATCCGAAACGCAGAATGT